GGAGGTAGTAGTCATCATGTGAGTCCTACAGGTGAGCCCTACAGGTGAGTACTACCGCAGTGAACGTGCACTGCGCTCGTATCCACGTGCGTGGGCTAGGCTTGGCACATCCGTGCGAGGTACAAAACAAACAAGACTTTGTTACCCGAGGAATTATTAATTTTTTTACGATAATAATTACCAATATTATCAGTTATCATACACATATGGGTGGGTTGTCTCGGGCACAAACACTCGGCGACGATGGGAGCTAAGTTCTGGAGCTATCGGCGTGTTGTTGATGGGGGTGCGAGTTGAGTTCACACCGCCTGTGGATTACGAGTCCCTGCATCTGCGTGCTGTGTTCATGTCCTGCGAAAATACTCACGGATGCGTAACTCAATTCGCGTGCTAAGATACAGGAGCTCGCTGAGTAAGCCGGCGTTCCCTATGTTTCACAAACAAAGTACACACTCGTATATACTAATAATAGTAATCATGACGATACACACGCTCACATTAACGTGTGTAGACAAACGCAACACGATGTATGCAACGTAAACGTTCAGCTTTCTAATACAAATGCATGACAAGAAGCTGCCTGCGATAATTCACCCTCGATTCCGTGGACAGAACGACGACGTGGCAGCAGCAGCAGCAGCAGAAAAGGAATGGAACTCGTGACCGAGACAAACGCACCACCGGTGATGAGATGGAGCGATGAAATCAGCTGCTGCCGTGTGCAGTGGGATTATTATTAACATCGCGCGGGGGGTAGCGAGAGATACGGCGGTGGGTTGGGATGAGCCCTTTAACCAGCAGTGCATTGACCATGGCTGATGATGATGATGCTGACGATGGTGCTGATGATGATGATGACGATGACTTTTGAAGACGACCCTTAGTAGCACCGTCAATGAATCCCCGTGGCACTGGCCGGTGCCACGGGGATTTACGCTTTTAGTTGCGACGTTGAGCTCTTAAAAAAAAAAAACAGAATTACGCGATTAAATTGTGGAATCATTGCAAGCGATCACATGTTTTTTTTTGTTGCCAAATGTAAACCGCGTGAGTCGCGAGCTTCTGTGCCTGTGTGTTTGACAACTCGCTTTAAACGCGGGGAGTAAGGAGGAGGAGGAGGAGGGAAGGAGGGGGGGGGTTGCACTTTTGCTTTTAGCTGCAAAAGGCCTCCTGCGAATTGTCAGTGATGAGCACAAACCACCGGGGTACATCCGTCGGTCTGGCGGTCTTCGATGACGCACAAAGACAAAGATCCCCCGCGTAGGCTGGTGCGGCAAGTGCCGTGAGCAGGCCGACTATTCTAAAAGGCCCGAACGGCACACAAGCGGGTGGGTGGGTGGCCAGAACCACGCCCGGCCGCCTTTGTCTCACCCAGTGCTGATGTTTACAGACCACGCACCGGGTATTCATTTAAGGCTAAGTCGATATACACACATGTATATATATATATATACACTCTACATACACATAAGCACGCATACTTTCACGTATATAGAGCAAAGACAAAGCGAACGATCTCCATCATAGCCTTTTGAGACACTTGAGGCAAGTGCGCTTATCGTACACATTCGTAAACAAAGACACAAACTTACACCGCCACATACACAATGCACTTACGCACACACATATATATATACAGACGAATACACGCACAAATAAATATACATACACACACACATACACACAAAACACACACACACGTGTTCTTATACATACGTACACACGCAAAAACACGCACAGTTACACACATCCAATGCACTTTTACACATGCACATATATACACCTACACATGCATGCACGCAAGTAAATTATTACTTTGCTTGATATAACGCCATTTACTCATACAAAGACACCCCGTGTAGCCGTGAGCAGACTGTTGGGGCAAGTGCTGTTAGCGAGCACCTACGAAGGCCGGAACCGACACGAGGGGGTGGGTGGCGAGGCACACACCGTCCCGTCTTTGTCTCCCCAGTGGCGATGTTTACGAATCGTATCAGGTACTCATTTTTACGCTAAGTCGACCTAGGGGAGGCCCACGACCGGTTCAGATAATCGTCACTGGTCTGGGCCGTGAGCGGGAATCGAACTCCGAGCGCCGGGTTCATAGCGCTCACTAATACACACGTACAAAGACAAAGATCCCCCGTAAATATATACATACATACACGTATACACACGTGCGCACACGCGCATAAGCGGCGTGGCGATTAAAAACATCCACATGAAGCGTGAAAGCACGAGAGTGGATCAAGCGTGGACAAGCTCACTCTCACGCACACCGAGACAAATATCGCACGTGTGGCCTCATACGCTGTTGGGGGGAAGTGCCGGTCGTGAGAACATATTGCCACTCACACATACAAACACACAAAATTGCCCCGTAGAGTCTCATCGACTGTTGGGGAAAGTGCCGGTCGTGAGAACATATTGCCACTCACACATACAAACACACAAAATTGCCCCGTAGAGTCTCATCGACTGTTGGGGAAAGTGCCGGTCGTGAGAACATATTGCCACTCACACATACAAACACACAAAATTGCCCCGTAGAGTCTCATCGACTGTTGGGGAAAGTGCCGTTAGCGAGCACAAATTTCCACTCACACAAATGACATGAGAAGACGTTTCATTGGCATTGTGTTTGTAGCCATTTCCGAAATAATTAGAATTCACATACTCTGGTTATTTCGGTAAAGTCACGTAGGTAGAAAAATAATAGATCACGACGTTTCGATCGCAACACAAGCAATCGTTATCAGGTGGGACAACCACAGCAATAAAAAAAACTGCTGAACGACCTGTCTTTTGTGTTTCATATATATACACAAATGTCATACGCGCGTGACTTTACAGAGTTAACCACGCGTAATAATTAATTCATGGACATCTGATTTGTAAACCACAGCAAAAGTCTGAGATTGTTTTTTTTCTAGACTAGCTTCCTAAACTAAACTCAACTTTATTATTTCACCAGGTAATGCTCACTGAGCTATGTAGCTCTTTTTCAGAAGCGACCTGGCCACAAATGATAGCTCAACGAAGTGGCTTATCACGTGGAACTTTTTTGCACCCAAATACTCCAAACGCGCGTTTCCCGACAGAGCACGGAGCGGTGGCGCGGTGATTGGCGCGTTGCGCTTTGAAACGCGGGCACCCACGGAGTTCGATTCCCGGTCACATTTTTCGAACAAAAAGTAACGAGCGGTGTGTGTCCCTCGCCAGCTTTCTCCACCAACCCGCAACTCACCGACGTGGCGATGTATGGCCAAACAACCGCCACGGCCAACACGGCTTGCGGGAGGGTGATTCGTTCGGCTTTCATTCACCGAGTAGTTTGACACATGGCTCTTAATGACAATTGTTGTTGTTGTACAGTACAGTACGAGAGAGATATCATCCTCGTCCATCCTCCACGATTCATCTCCGGGCTGCAGCTCGCAACGCGTTCGCGCGGCACGACTCGACGAGACGGTTTTTGTTATCACATTTCTCCACGCTGCCGGCGTTATTGAGATCCGGTTGTGATCGTCCTTGTAACACGGAGCTGCTTTAGCTCAACGGGGTACTTACCCGCAGAAAGAATATCGTCTTAAATGTAAATTGTCGTCGTTCACCCCCCCCGCCCCACGCCGATGAGCGCCGCGTTTAACGAAGGCGACATCGGCGTATCACGCAGTGACACATGTGGTGCCGACACTACTGGAGATATGTATTTGGCTCGTACGTTGAAGGAATTGCGTTCGACTCCCATTGAAGATGCAGGCATCCTTCTGTCGAACACTCACATGATGCGATATATGTTTGGTAGGTTACCACCGCGTCCTCGTGTTCATGATCGCCGTTCTCAACACGATATCGTCCTCACACGCTTCGGTGACATTCAACAAAAAAGCGAAATGTCAGTGAACGCGATGAATGTGTTGCGTGTGTGCGCGCGTGTGCGTGCGTGGAGATGCGGCGTTGTTGTTGTTTCATTCGGAGGAGCGGTACCGCAAGTCGTTTAATGCCTAATTATCCAGCTTGTATCGATAATGCGGCGTCAATGTCTTTATCGTACTCGTTGGTTCTTTCGCTAAAGTCACTTTTCCGAAGGAACCAAAGAGTATGGATTCCTGCAGTCACGAAAGCTTCAAATCAAGATTGTATTTATCGTATCCATTACATCTAACACGTGGGCATAACGTACGAAATGTGTACATTCTTAAGCGACACCCTTTACAGTATTCAAAGACACACATTCTTCCGTATGGCAAATGCTGTTATAGAGCACCTATTAAGACCGCCGTCACGGCGCACGATTGTGTGGTGTGGCCTCCACCAAGCCCGACCGCCTTTGTCTCTCCCCAGGCAGTTCTGACTTTACACACCGCAGCGGGTACACATTAGAGTCGACCTATAGCGGGGGGGGGGGAGGCCTAGGGCAGGTTTTGCTGCTCGCCACTTGCCACTGATGTTAGCCGTGGTCAGTCATCGGACGCGTCCGGTTGGTTTGTAGCACAATGTTCAAACTCGTGCGCCACCGCTCCCCCCACAATGTACATGGAGTAAAAAGTACTGCACGCGAGGCAAAGACGCACGGCACGCCGCAGATCGTGCGCGCCAGGTACGCCCGCAACTCCCGGCTAGCACGGTTGGCTACGTACGGCGCAAAAAAAGTTCCACATACATCCGTATACACACGGTATTGACGATATACGTACACGCATACAAAATGTTCACATTAAACGTTCGGCTCGGTGTGTGTGTGTGCGTGTGTATATATATATCCTTTAGAATTACACAGTGCCTCGTAGCGGACATAGTTCGTACACAGCACACAGCACACACACAGCGCATATGTCGTATGCATTGAGGATACGCATTGAGTTTATCCTATTGACACTCGCACACACGCGCACAGACTCCAACCCGACAGCACCGGCGACAATGACAGCACGTGTGCCGCACAGCGACCACGTCGTGACACCCCCCTGCACAACCCCCGGGGCCTCGGCTCTCACCTGGGTATCTGTGGCCGAGGTATCTGTGTCGATTCAGCAGCCACGGGTAGAAAGTCATGGGGTCTCGCTGCGGGGGTCCGAACAGAGGATGAGAATGCTGCAGGTGGTGGTGCGGAGGCAGCGCGGGGACTTGAAGGGGACCCCCAGCCGAGCCGGGGTGATGGCCGGGGTCCGAGTAGAGCAACTCGGCAGGGTGAGGGTAGAGTGCCCGTGCCGTGGGCTGCGGGAACGCGGGCACGAAGGCGGCGGCTGCCGCCGCGGCTGCAGCGGCCGCCGCGGCTGCCGATACGGACGCCGAGCTGTGGTGATGGTGCTGCTGATGCTGGTGATGCTGATGATTATGACTGCCGGCGAAGCTCAGGGCTGCCGGCCGTAGCGGCGCTTCGTGCTGCTGTTGTTGCTGTTGCTGCTGCTGCTGCTCTGATCGGCTGGTGGGTGCCGGACAGTCCTTCGCCACCAGAGACTCGATGGTAAAGCAGCGCTTGGTGGTCGCCGGTTGAAACATGTTGGGTGCAGGGCGAGACGGGGCTGGAGGAGGAGGAGGCGAGTCGCTCGCTGCCTCCTTTCCCTCGCCACGTCTGTCCGGCGCTGGTAGGGAGGAGGAGTAGTAGGAGGATGAGGGGGTGGTGGGGGTGATGCAAAGACGCAATACGGCCCCGGCGCAGTTTCTATCTCATGTCAACCCCGGCGAGCTTGACGATGTCTCCCTGCAGCGCGCGTGTCTCTGGCCGTGCGCGTCGTCTGCGAGCTGCGCACACATGCGTCAGCCCGACTTGAGGAGGAGGAGGAGAAGAGCCCAATCGATGAAACGCTCTTTGTGGATCGATGACACAACACTCTTCTTGTTGCTCGCGCGCTCGCTGGCGCGGCGAGCGAGCGCGCTGCCAGGTCGCCGTTCGCGACCCCTTGAGGAGTGCGGCTCCCTTTTTATAGGCAGCCGATGCAGCGTCCGCGGCTGTTGTCACTGTGAGTGTTCGAGTAGTCGCGGTCGTGATAATGTATCGGCGACTTTGCGCGTGTGCGCGTGTGTGTGCACACGTACTTTACAAGCGATGGAGTACTCGAGTGATGTGGACTGCAGCAGCAGGGAACGCGCCTGACTCCGCCTGTGTCTGTGCGTGTCTGCAAAGATCTCTGTGTGTGCGTGTGTGTCTCTACGTGCGCGCGCGTGTGTCTACGTGCGCGCGTGTGTCTCTGTGCGCCGAAGAGTGTGAGTGCATGTAATCCGCAGTATACCTTCGCGTATCTCCGTGTGAAGTATGCGCGCGTGTGTGTGTGCGTCTCTCTTCGTACGCGTATCGTTGCGTGTCGCTCTGTGTATGTGTAAGTACGTGAGCGCGTGTACCTATCTCTGCGCGTGTGCGTGTGCGCGTGTATCAGTATATGCCTGAGAGAGTGTGTGTGTGCGTGTGCGCGTGTGTGTCTTCGCGCGCGCGCGTGTGTAACGCGCACGACAAGTCCCAAGTACGCAGGCTTCGCTCACCAACCACCACCACCACCAACCACCGTCACTGCTACAAAGCACTTGAGCATTTAGTCCGACTACCGCTCGCCACAGACTCGCTGTCGAACCGCGGACCGCCCTCTCGCCGCCGGGCCTCGCACAACTGAAGCCGAGCGCGGTGGCGATTTCAGAGGGGAGCGAGCGAACCTCTTCCTTCCATATCTGCGCGGTCGCCTGTCGCCCGAGTCGGGGGGGGGGGAGAAAAGTTGCGCGCGCACAAGGCACGGAAGGCGGGTCCCTACAACCCCCCCCCCCTCTCCTCCTACTCCTTCCCCCCCTTCTCTCTCTCTCTCTCAAAGCATGATCTCATTAAGCGAGGCCAGGGCGGTGCTGAGCATAGATTAGTGCGCTGATTGGTCACTATTACGAGGGCCGGTCGTGGGAGGGAGCGTGGCGCGGGGAAGCGGAGGGGGCGGAGAGTTTTGGGGGAGGAGAGAAAGGGGATAGGAGAGACAGAGAGGGAGGGAGCGGGGGGAGGAGGAGAGGGAGGGAAGGGGAGGTGGGAGCGTGGGTAGAAGAGCAGAGAGGAAGGAGTTTGTTGGATGAAGAGAGAGGGAAGGGAGGGACTCGGAGTCGGAGTGGCTGTGTGAGGTTTGGAAGAGCGGCAGAGAGAGAGAGAGAAAGAGAGAGGAGCGGAGCGGAAAGATAAAAGTGGAGGGAGTAGAGAGTGGAGAGAGCGTTTGGAGTGGGAGGTTTTTTGGGGGAGAAAGCCGTCTCGGTCCCGAGTCGTTTCTGTGCGCACAATGAACGGACAACTTCAAAGCCGCACGATCCGTAGTTCTTGTCGCTGTTCTCCGCAACTCGGAGCAGCAGTGGTTACTTTTGTTGTTGTTGTTGTTTGTTTGTTAAATCCATTCCCGGGGTGTTTCTTTTTATTTGTATATCTTTCGCGTTGTTGTTTTTTTGGGGGGGGGGGGGGTGTTGTTTTGTTTATCCTGCACGGATGAGTGAGCAATGCCTCTTGGTTGTGCCGCTCGCTGAGTGTACGAGACCGCTCGCGGATTCCCGGGGTGTGTCCGGGGCTTTCGAAGTGAGTAACTCACACGAGTAATGCGCTCGTGGTTTTTGACCGTAACAACCATCACCACCACCACCACCCCCTCCCGCCACCGCCGCGGCGACTGCTTGCCACGGGGTCTCGCACAGCTGCGACGGGTCGCGTGACCACGTCGCGGTGAAAGCGAATCGCTGAAGTCTGATAAACAATCAGCTGTCCTCTACTCTTGTCACGCGTGCACTCAACTTGTGATTTCGTAAGTTGTCTTCTTAAGTGCGGATAAACAGGCGGGCGCATCGAAGCGGCGTCACGTCTGAGTTATTTGACGTCACGTTTACCAGGGCCCTATTCCGACACATGGCGATGCACTGCTCGCTGCTGGAATTCTGAACGGACAATTCCTTCGTATCGTGGCCGCACAAGGCCGACGGGAAAGCACGCGTGGTGCAGGCGGCGCTTGATCCCAAGCGGAGCACTCAAGGAACGCTGTTCCGCGAATCATTTTGATTCAGTGCCACATCCGTCTCGCCTCGTCGTGTTTGCGTGATGCCGCGGTGGTTTGTGTGTGTGTGTGTGGTGGTGTTTGGTGGTGTGTGTAAGGTGGTGTGTGTGTGTATGTGTAATGTGGTGTGTGTGTAAGGTGGTGTGTGTAAGGTGGTGGTGTGTGTGTGTGTGTGCAAAGTGGGGTGTGTGTGTAGTGTGTGTGTGTGTAAGGTGGTGTGTGTGTATGTGTAATGTGGTGTGTGTGTAAGGTGGTGTGTGTGTATATGTGTAATGTGGTGTGTGTGTGGTGTGTGTGTGTAAGGTGGTGTGTGTGTATATGTGTAATGTGGTTTGTGTGTGTAAGGTGGTGTGTGTGTGGTGGTGTGTGTGTAAGGTGGTGTGTGTGTGGTAGTGTGTGTGTGCGGTAGTGTGCAACAACTTGCGTGAAAAGTGCTTAGCGTTACCAGATGCCCTTAAATAAAGTTGCTCTTGTGGTATTGCCTTACCGCCGACAAGGCAACCTTAGCGGCGTTGCTGAAAGTAACTGGTGACAATTTTTTTGCGTTTCATATCGGGTGAGAAATTATTGAAAGGAAAAAAAACTAATAATAATAATTAAAACACGACGATAATAGTGACGAGCTCTTAAAAGCCCACAAGAGTTGGGATTGACGGCGCAAGGGGTGAAGTGCACAGGAGTCGATAATAATCGGACGCATCACGCGCGCTCTTCACGACTCGCTGCCGGGATTAAAGAGGTTTCCCGAGAACCCCGTAGCCCCGTAGCGGCAGCAGCAGCGGCAGCAGCAGCCGCAGCAGTAGCAGCAGCAGCCGCAGCAGCAGCAGCGGCAGCAGCAGCGGCAGCGGCAGCGGCAGCAGCAGCGGCAGCAGCAGCGGCAGTAGCGGCAGCAGCAGCGGCAGTAGCGGCAGCAGCGGCATTGGGCACGCGCGCCTCCACGCACGGGCGAAACGAAAACACAACAAATACAAAGATTCCCCCGTGTTGGCCTGAACAGACTTTTGGGGCAAGTGCGGTTAGCGAGCGCCTATGAAGGGTGGAACGGTACACGAGGGGGTGGGTTTGTTGCACTACGCCCGGTGGCCTTTGTCTCCCCAGTGGCGATGTTTGCACACCGCACCAGGTACTCAATTGAGGCCGAGTCGACCTAGGGGATGGCCATCACCGGTTCAGATAATCATCACTGGTGTTGGCGGTCGTGAGCGGGAATCGAACGCGGGTGGCCGGGCTTGCAGCGCAGAGCGCTAACCGCTGCACGACACACACACACAGAGAGAGACACACACACACACTACCCATTGTCTCTCGTTTCAAGCGGCCGCGTAATGAAGCTGTAATTTTAATGAGTGGTTATAATTAAGTGCATTCATAATGCTCCTTCCTCGTGCAATCTAATCCACAGCGGCGTCGCACACGCGGGCGCGCGCGTTTAGATATAGACGCAGAGTGGTGTGTGTCATCACGCGGGGCACAATGCGGTCCAGTAGTGTGACTTTACCTACACTCAAGTAGAACGCGAATAGGTGACGCGTTGCTGTACTGCGCGAGCAGCACTTTTGTTTGTGTGTGTGTGTCACCAGAGTTCGATTCCAGCTCACGGTCAACGCCAGTGAGGGTTATCTGAACCGATCCTGTGCCTACCAATTTGTCCACTCAAATGAGTACCTGGTAGGGTGTGTAAACATCGCAGTTGGGGAGACAAAGGCGGTCGGGCGTGGTGCTGGCCACCCACCCCCTTGTGTAGCGTGCCCGCCTTCATAGGTCCTGTCGAACAGCACTTTATCCCAAACGTTTGTTCAGGTTGTAAAGGAGATATTTGTATTATTCCTAATTCCCATATTATATATTCGAGAGGCATTGGTGTTTTGGACATAAATCACTTGCACAGCTAAATAGTACAGCGCCTCTGCGTGTGCGCGTATGTACGTGTCGAATATATCAAACGGAACTGAGCCTTCTCTAGGTCGACTCAGCCTTAAATGAATTACCTAGTACCGTGCGGAGGCATGAACAACGCTGTTCGCTCCTCGTGCGCCGCTCCGGCTCGTCACAGGTGCTCGCTAACAACACTTGGCCCCAACCGTCTGTGCGAGGCTACACGGGGGATCTTTGTGTTTGCCTCGGGAAGCTACGCGGCCTCTATTGAGCGCCGTGGTCCCTTGTTGTCAACGTGCTCGCCGAGAGCAAATATGATCACCGGCTGTGATGAGATGGTTACGTGAAATGAAATTGGCTACACGTCACCAATTGCAGGAATCCTCCTGAAAACGAGCGCTTGAAACTCGGAGAGAGGCGTTCCGAGGTGAGTTGTTATTCCACGAGGTGTAATTGTTTCGTTTTTGTTTGGATGAATAGTAAACACAACATTGCCGCTTGCGCGCGATGCGTGTCGACGCATGACATCGCGTCTGAAGAAAGTCAGCCGGCCAAAGCGTCAATATATGTATTGTCAGTAATTATACGAATCATTACGTTTAATTAACATGTATTACGTGTGTACCGAATATAAAGCGAAGCAGCAAATGCACATTTGACACGCGCGCACTCGTCGGATGTGTGTGTGGGCGCAGCTGTGTCAGACACGCGGATGAAGTCTCAAAAGACAAAGGTCCCCCGTGTAGCCTGTAACAGACTGTTGGGGCAAGTGCTGTTAGGGGGTAGCACCTATGAAGGCCGGCACGGCACACGAGGGGGTGGGTGGTCAGCACCACGCCCGGCCGCCTTTGTCTACCCAGTGGTCGATGTTTACACACCGCACCGGGTACTCGACCTCGGGGAAGGCCCAGGACCGGTTCAAATAATCGTCACTGATTTTGGCCGTGAGCTGGAATCGAACTCGGGTCGCCAGGTTCGTAGCGCAGCGCGCTAACCGTTACACTACCGCTCACACAAATACACCCTCTCACACACACTCGCACACACACACACACTTTCACACATACACACACTCACACACACGCACATACACACACTCACACACATACACACATACACACACTCACACATACAACAACAACAATCGCCACTAAGTGGCAGTGACGTCACCACGACGCTTGTGCCAGGCCATGTGCACCTTGAGGCCACACATACACTCACTCACACACACACTCACACACACTCACACACTCACACACACTCTCACACACACGCACACACTCACACGAACGCCCAGCAACCGCCTGTGTGAGAACAGTCAGATACACCGTGATTCCTCTCGACCTCTCTCGCCTCGCTATGTGCTGTGAAGAAGGGTCCGAAACGTCGCCTATTTTTTTCTCACTTTAAGGCCACGCGAATGCGTTAAGTTGTTGATGTTTTGTTTTGTTATTAGTCCTAACGACACTTTTGTTCGTCACATTATGTAATAATGAGGGTTCTGTTCCGTATTTCCATTACCTGGCTCTGGGTATGTGTAATAATTAGACTGTTGCTGCTGTTGTTGTAGTGTAGCATGTGTACTTAGCTCGGGAGCTTTAAATCAACTTGCAAAGTGATCGATTTACCAATCGTGATAGACGGCGGCTATCTTTTAATAACTCACAGCGCTCGGTATTGTTTCGGCGTGAATACTTTTTGTTCAAAGCAACTGTCAAACATCGCGCCGTGTACTTTTATCAGAGACAGATTGTATTCGCACTCGGAGATGCGTGCTGTTTCGGTGGCTG